CTACCATAGACACGGAAAGTTAAGGTCTCAAAACGATAGTGGTACGAGGAAAAATAGCTATGTCTCTTCAACAGATTTCACTAAAAACTAGGCATCACATGTAGTAGTCTTACAGAATACTGCAACGCCACTTTATGTCATTCTATTGGAGTTTTTGAAATTTAAATATGTATAAATACATAAAGATCATTATTCCATCATTATCATCATATTATTCTTCGAATGGATTGAAATTATGAAAATATTTGTATTTATTTTGCTCTAGTTTATTTTATTTTAGAACTTTATATTTAGTATAAATAAATTTTTATGTATTCTTTATAGTTGTTGATTAGTTGTAGTTTCTCCTATAATACAATTTGTTTTTACAATAATGGCCACGGTTAGTAGCTATATGTATTATATGGTATATGGTAGTAGCTATCTGGGTATATGGTCTCTGTAATATGTTGGATAAAATACCAAATACTTTGATTTGGTGACTTTGTGGGTCTTAAATTATTGAGATGATTAAGTTGAGGCGAACAAAATGGGCATGTAAAATCGTTGGACTTAGTAACGAAAGAATTCCAAAAAAATTAATACTGACTGACAAGCGTCCGAGGGGTAGATCAAAGCGAAGGTTTAGACTTGATTGCGTTATGGCTGATCTGACGGGGTTGGGTTTAGACGGCGCTTGGTGTATAGAAAAATGTGTATCGAATGGTGGTATTGGCATAGAACCTCCGGGTTCACTAAGGCTTATTATTATTATTATTATACATAGAGGTCCGATGAAAATGCAGTAATTAGTTAATGAACTGTGTATGCAACCAGTTGCGAAAAAAAGGAAAATTTTCTCTGCCAAAATAAACTAAAAACAAAATACGGCTGTTAAAAAAATATATATTAGTACCAATACTCTAGTATTGGACTGTAAATATGTTGCAGGGCAAGGAGACCGAGCGGGTTAACGCGAGAAAACCGTTAATAGAATTCGTTGCCAGGCAATCTGATAAACTGAAGATAACATAATAATAATAATAATAATAATAAGGCTTAGCGAACCCGAAGGTTCGATGCCGACACCACCAATCGCTTATTACACACCTACCTCCACCGTTCGCCGTCCAAACCCAGTCCCTTCAGATCAGCTTTAATGCAATCTTCCCACCTTCGCTTCGGTCTACCCCTCGGACGCTTACCATTCGGCACAGCAAATATTAACCTTTTAGGAATTCTCTCGTTACTAAGTCCAACAACTTTACAAGCCCATTTGATTCGCCGCGATGAAATTATCTCAATTATATTACTCGGATACAGTTCACGCAATTCGGCGTTGTGTAACCGTCTGAACTTAGGGGCCCACCAGACTTGCTGGAGGGTGTGACGTAGGATTGAACGCCCTACTCACATATTTTTAGTTCACCAAACACCACAAATAGTCATGGATCTCACTAAGGTAAAACTGAAGATAACATGATAAAATAATTATGAGTTCGCCGAAGAGGCGTGGAACGAGGGAAAAAAATTGTAATATCATATTCAGTTCAAAACTAGTTGAACAAAGAATTATCATATTGTTTTGTCGTTAAATTTATTCCAAACATTTCTCTTTCTCTTGAGCTTTGTTCTCAGTTAGAATTTCAAAACCAAACATTTGAAATATCGAAGGTACAATCCGTTGTAGTAAGAGTGTTTTTTTGTTATACAAACTTTAACGACTTCATTGTTGATACTGAATAATACAAAATTATTTTTCTCAAATGATCTCAGAGCTCAAGATTAATGTCGTAGGTAGTTAAAGTAATTAATCCTTTGTATTGTATTTTAATATTAAACAATAATTGCGCATTACAATTACTAATAAGCAACACTTATATCCTCTAAGGCTAACCTTCTTTGTTCGCATTATTCAGATTAATTTCTTTGTTATAATTCGTAGTTTCAAAAGAGTATTTTAACATAACACGTAAGGTTATGTTAATACAATAAGTTTCCACCTTGTTGTGGAAGGGAGGCCATTGTAATAACTGGATGGAAATCGAGATGATAATTACAGCAAGTACAATGACAAGAGACCTGACGTGAAGGAAGTGGCCGGGGTTATTTAGAAGGCAGTTATGACAGAATACGTTAATGATCTAGGCATCACTGCTTTTCCCGTAACGTGGTGGCACTAATAAATATTCATACGGCTACTGTATTCTCCAATTTAAATCAATTATTCAAAAAAACCAGCATTAACAACAATTTACATTTATTAATATATTTGTATTGGTGCATAATTATACAATAAAAAATCATCGTTTATATTCAGTGATGAATTATTTATATATATTTTTAGACTCGACAAAAACACAGTACCTAAGAATACTGGTCATAGAAAAATTCTTTTAAAGAAAATGACATCAATAATGAAAATAAAACTATACTTGAACTATGGAAGTAAAAATACCTTGTATATTAAACCGCTAGTCTGCGTTTTGTTTCGTAATTGTAGGTGTTCTTTGTTATTATTTTTTTTTATACATTTCACAAATTATGAAAAATCGGTTGTTTCTTTATTCTAGTGTTTTTGTGGTTTTCAAGAACAATCAGACGAATTTTTGGTAAGCTTTCAGTGTCGTTTTTGGATATTTGTTAACTGTTTGAGAGCTTTTGTTAAATTGAACGGTTACTAGCACTAGCGGATCCCGGATTTAATTTTTGGGGGTGAGCCTTCAGCCCGAAAGATTTTTTTTTCATATGCATATAATGATAATTAATTTGAAAAAAAAAAGAAATTAACTACTTATGTGAAATTGTGTTAAGTGTTTACTGTAGTCCTATTAAATGTAATTACAGGAACAAGAATACTTTCAGAGATAGTTTTTAATACATTTTTCTGTAAAAAATGGCTATCTTTTATCATTTTGGGAGGGGGGGGGGACTTCAGCCCGAAAGCCCCTTCCCCCGTAGATCCACCTGTGGTTACTAAATCAATTTTCTTTATCTACCATGTCCCCTTTGACAGAGATGGGAAAATGCTATTCCGAGTACCGAGTATCAAGTTTTTACACAAATTGAATAATTATTGGAAATTCAATCACTACTTCCGTTAATCGTTTGACATCTAATGAAGCAGTAACTAAATTCTTTGGTACTCAAAAAAGGTCAGTATTTGAGTAAAATACTCAGTATTCAGAGTAGCATTTGTCCATCTCTGTCCTTTGATGAATTTCAAGCTTGTATTCATTTTTTTTCCTTTCCTTTGGTTTCTTTTTAAAATTATAATACTCTTACTTACTGTTAGGCACTACGGTCCTAAAAGGACTTCTCACTGTCTTCCTCAAGGACTTCAAGCTAATCATTCCTATCTTTTGTTCGTGTCCTCCATCTCCTTACTCCAAGCAACTTCAGGTCCTCCTCGACATCATTCAACCATCTTACTCTTAGCCTTCATATGTATCGTTTTTCTCCGATTCCAATCCAGCAGGCGTCTTGGCATCCTTGTTTCAGACATCCCTTCTACATGTCCGAGAAATCTGGGGCGGGCTTTCTTCACAAAGGATACCAGGTCTGGTTTCCCATCACTATGTGTCATTTTCTCTTATTGGCTCAAATATCTTCCCCAGAGTATTTTTCTTTTCCAGACATTGAGTCTCCTTTTACTTTCATTTAGCAATATCCAGGATTCACTGCCATAAGTAACACTGGATCTCAGGATAATTTCATATATCAGAAATTTTGCAGTTTTTGAAAGAGCTTTAAACTTTAATATTTTTTGTAGGGCATAAAGGCACTTGTTGCCTGCAGATAGGCTCAATTAAATATGGAATTATTATAACTTAGTAGTTGACCTTTATATTATTTATTAAGGAAGGAGACGGTCTGTGGTGGTGGTCATAAACAGACTGAATAGTGGCAAAACCATTTTATTAAAAGACAACGTTTCGACCCGAATTTGCAGGTCTTCTTCAGGGTGTTTTCAGTAAGGAGTTTCACTTAGAACTGCTGAGTTTCACTTTGCAGTTCTAAGTCTGCAATATTTTTGCCACTATTTAGTCTATTTATGGCCGCCACCCCGAACCCATTTCTAAGTGAAACTCCTAGCTGAACACATCTCCCTGAAGAAGACCTTCAAAGTCGGGTCGAAACATTGGCTTTTAATAAAATAGTTTTGCCGCTATTTAGTCTATTTATGACCGTCACCTCGGACCATCTTCTTCCTTAGAATTATTATAGGTTAGGAGAAAAGCGTCTGTTCTTTGTAAATACATAACTCTGAAAGCATCTTGTTTTTTTGTTTGTTTTTCTGTGTGTCAGGTATTTGTAAATATATAAATCCGGCTTTACAGATTAGATTGTTTAATTGGCAATGCTGTTACTAGCAAGAGCCACTTTAATAGTTGAAGAAGCTCAATATGTTTTACCGTTTCATTTTAAGCTCACGAAAAAAAAATACTTGAAAATTTGTATTGAAAATAGTGTTGCCCAAAATCGTTCTTGGTCTTGCACTTTGCAAGACCAAGACCAAGGCCACCTAATTGTTGCAAGACCAAGACCAGGACTGGTAAAAAAAAATCGACTTTTTAAATAAACATTAAGGGAAAATAGTTACTAATACTTGACAATCTTACTTACAATAATTGGTATAACCAATATACTGTTGTATTTAACTCCTCTAATTTTTCAATCAGGCTTTGTAAAGAATTCAAGTCGTGATAAGCAGGTGTGCCCAGAAGGGGATTTGATGGCGGAAGTTTCGACATCAAAATGTTTGTACTGATAAGCACTGAAAGGCTTATGAGTACTTGAAAGCCTTCAGTGCTGGAACCACACACCGATGATGACCCATATATTTGGGTGGAAACGTGGGCACAAATAAAAAAGTTTTATAATGAGTGCGTCCTGAATATTTATCATCCATGATGGTAAAATAACGTTTTTTATTTTTTATTTATTTCATCAATTACCGCAGCCCCCAACCAACTTCTTATACGATTTTTTAGTCACGGTTAATGAAAAAATAGAAAATAGGTTAATAAAGCCTGTTTATTATTTATATCGATTAGGGTTTTGGTTTTTTCCAGACCCCATGTTCAGTTTCTTTTCTCAGCAATCCTCGAATTTCTCCAGACTGCCATATCGTCACCTCTTCGACTTCAGGCCGTCTTCGCCTACGGATCCGCCTTGTCCGCATGAATGATACACATTTTATACAAGGACTGCACCATAAAATAATGTAGTACTTCTAGAATACTCAGCAATCCAGTTGCTAGCCTATACGATGGCTTCACTCCTGTTTGCATGCCTTGGAACTTTTCCATGTCCTTGAAGAACCGGGCAAGATCCCTCTCCAAGATGTTGATGTGCCTCAAGAACTTTCTCCTGTTCGGCTCCACAACCCCTTCCATTCTAGTGATCATTGCTAATATCTTGTACATGTGGAGGTAGAGGCAAATCCTGAACTTCGTGGTTTTCTTCAAGTTGGTTAAGAAACTGAGGCAGGTGTGCTGAGGATATTCTATTACGAAGTACTCCAGGAGCAGCCTTTCGACTTCGACGATCTTCCAGAACCTGATCAGAATAGGTTGGAGGTAGCAGAGGAACAGGCATATTTGAGGATGAAACCTCATCTCTGCCCTGTGTCTCCTGCAGCCGAATGTCGTCATTATCTTCTTCATCGTTTCCCTCTTGCAAGACATCAAGAATAGAAAGTGTACCAGATTCATGAAAAACTTTACGAATGTTTTCTTTTCATCCAGTGAACTATGTTCTGAACTCCGCTTCTGAACTAACCCAGTAATGTTCTGCGTAACTAATCCCTCAAGTTCCCTGGAACATTTAAATTATTTTTTAACAATTTAAGTATAATTAATTTACTTTATTTATAATCATATAAGAATATTATAACCTCATGGAGAATAACTGCATTCTATTATTATTAAAATCTAACGGTAAGCCTAACAATCAACAGTTAAAACAATCAATTTTACTAGTTTTTTTTGGGGGGGGGGAGGAGGAGGGAATTCATTTAAATATGAAAATGACTCAAAACTTAGGTTACCATTTATTGCAACTCAAGAATCATGCTGAAGAACAAAATTTAACAGAACTTTAATTGAATCGAATTTAAATAAATTTCTATCATAATATTGAATTGCTGGAAGACACGATAAATACATTAAACTTATACTTAGCTGATCAACTATATCAATATAATTCATCATCATTAATAGAAATCACAAAACATCAGCTTCTAACGAGTGGCCAATTTCATTATAGTTAGGGTCGGCTCGTGCTAAATACAAATTTATTAAGTAAAAGTACAGTCTGCCACATTGAAGGGTTACAATACCAGTGTTATACAATACATACATAAAAAAGAGGAATGAATAATATATAAAATTTATATTAAAAAAATAATTAACAGTGATAATGACAAGAAATAATAATAAAATGAAAAAGTGAATTTCAGAAATAAAAACTGTTCTTAAACACATTTATACCTATACACAATATTTACATTAACCCAGGTAACTCCGAATCAAGCTTTCTCCTTCCTATTTAGAAGGCAAAACAGGACTCCAGGTGATTGCAGTGCTTTTCTCCCAGCCGCATCATTGGTGAAGACTGAAAGAGAGTACTAGAGCTACAGACCCTCAGAACTCCATAACAATATTTACAAGGAGTATCGGACCCATTGCCGTTTTAACCTCCGTGGAGGATTGTAGGGGTGATCGGATCCTGATAGGAATTTAGCTAGAGTATTCAGATACGGATAAGGTTTTGGTGAAAGCTTGAAAATATGGAATGATGTAACGTCTTGTTTGTGACATAATATAAATCATTGACTATTGTTCTAAGTACTTTGGACTTGAAGGATTTTATACGTATGATATTCGAATTTTTAGCTGTTCCGTAAGTACTGGTCATATAGATTAGTAGTTTGTTGATGAATTTGTTCAATTGAATGCTGAATTTGAAACATGAAATGTTATGTTTAGTAGCTTATATAGTTGGGCAAATCGTCAGTTAAACTCTTGTCTTTTAAGTCGGGTTCCAAAGTTGGTCTTTTGTCCAGGAGGAAGCCAAGGTACCGGTCTGCGTCTGAATAAAGTAAAGGTATTGCATTAAAATTGAAGATATGCAGACAAGATGTCTGAGGGCTAAAGTGACATGTTGACATTTTGATTTATTGACTTTGATGCGCCAATTGTCGTACCACTGCTCAATGAGGGAGAGGTGTGTTTGTAGATTTTGTTATCTATAGAATGGTAAATTTTATAACTTGATAACGCATGGCTCGGCGCGTTGCATAAAAACAGAGTCTTGATGTCCCTTTTCCCATGAAGAAATCTTTAAAAACCTATATATCCCTTCTCGATCCACCGCCTTTTCATATTCAGGAATTTGAAACCATCTAAATTTTCCAACCAGTTTTATTAAAGTTACAGTCAATCAAGATTTAGGAATCGAAATTAAAGTCTCCATAAAATTTCCTTTCCTTTTGATACCTCTTTTTTCAAAATCCATCTTTCCTTATACCAGAAAAGAGTTATAAACTAAAACATTAATGCATATTATGTATTCTAATCCCGCAATGTGCTTAGACATTTAGTAAATTCTAATTATAATTATAATCTGTTTTGTCTTTCATTAGAAGCGATTATATGAACTATGAAATATGTAACTAATAATTTAAATAAGACATACCATTGACTCTCATTGGATAAAATGTCTCGATATCGTGCCTCCAACGACGTCAGTTTTCGCATTACGCGTTCCGTAATCAAATCATGAATAAGATCCACGGCAGTCTTTCTGGTACACAAACCGGATTCGTAAATTGAAGAACAGCTCATAGGTCTTGGTATTTCTTCAATGAAGCTCGAATAACTCCTTCTTATGTTTTCGATATTTTTGAGGTATTTGACATATGAAAGTATACCTGAAGTCATAGACGGAGTCTTGTGCCTTAGAGCCAAACACTGCATCATTGATGCTTTCTTCAATATCGAACAGACCTCTTTCGAACTAATGTCTAGTTGTGATGATTTATTACTGGGGGGACTACATTCTGGTAACTGATCTTGTTCTTCCGTCTCCTGGTCAGAATCTTGTAGCGGTTGAACTTGAACATCTGGAGGCGGTGACTTCGGAAGACATTTGGGTAGGACAGACTGTAGGATATCTTTGTAGTCAGGTGAGATTGACATATTTCTGTCGATGTCCGACGAACCTTCAGGTTCCCCTCTACTTCCGTCATAACTAGGTTTTAGTGCCGATTCTTCGTCGTACCAACTTTTTTCCTGGCGGAATTGGTAAACTTTAGATGTCTTCTTCGGTCTCAAACGACAGCTCCTCTTGTAATGTTTTTTTCGACCGCCGGAACGGCCCTGGAGGAAGTTACTTCGTGGGCGAAATCCCCTTAGATTGCCATCTTTGTCCACATCCATCCCGAACGATTTCATAAACTTGATGACCAAGCGCCTCTGATAAGCGGGACAGTTCTGAAATATCCAATCTAGATGTTCGCGAGCATCCGCGCAAGGTTGCCTTCTCAACAGCAATGATACCAGTAGCCTGAAGTGCATTTCGAACATCTTATGTTTATCGGTGGAGCTGGAAACGGATCCTTTTGAACTGGATTTGGAATCGACCACGGTAGAGCTAGGCCTCTTGAGGCATGACTTCGCCGGGTAAAGCACTTCGACATTTTGAGGACTCAATTGCCATGTATCCTTGTCAGCCCAGTTCGAGTTGCCCCAGGTGACACGTCTCGAGCTAGGAAGCAAAGAACGAACAGAAGACGATTCGGTATAATGGAAATCGCTGATATTCTCCGAGTAGTTTTCCTCATCCGATGATGTGCATATTATTTCAGTACCGTCACTCTCGTATAGGCTGTCCTCATCGTCCATGTCCTCGCATATGTCTTTTGGAGGCGCAAGCGAAGTGACAGACGACTGCTTCATGCAGCAGAACTCCAGCCAGCAGGCTAAAATCACCATCAATATGGCAATAACTAATGCAATCTCTATCAAGTAGAACTAAAGAGGAGTATAGGAAAATAACATTAATCAATAATAGGTTATAATTGAAAAACTCAAAACATAAATTCTTGAGTATATGAAATACAGCTAAAACAAACTAACCAGTTAACATTTCACCAAGTCAGGCACCATCAAGGGAGAAATAGTCTACATCACACATACACTGAACAATTATAACATACCAACATTTACAGAACTCTTATCAACATTTAAAAAATAGGATATAATAAATGTTAACTAGACATCACGCTATAGTATCCAAACATAATCTCTAGTGACTCAAAATTAGCCGATAGGCTATTTATATTTTTCCAGTTATAGCCTGCATTATTAACTTATTAACGGGTTACTGTGGCTCAGTCTGGGTAAACGGGAAAACGAAGGAAATAAAAAGCACATTACTTGAAAATGTGTAACTTTATAATACTTTGATGATGTCTAATGAAATCGTTTGTTTAAAATCTTAAATCTCAGGAAGTTCTACACCAATTACTCTCAATTTTTTATATTGGCTTACATTAGAATAAACGGGCACTTTTATATACCTCCTATTATAAAATATCAGGTAAAAAAATGATTCACAATACTATTTAAATGTTTCAGATTTACAATCATTTAAAGTGTTATAGCATTGGAATTGAGCGATACCGTTTACCGCAGCAATCATTTCGTGTGTGTAAAGTCTCCCTCCTCTCACGAGTGCGATAAGGCAAAGTTTAAGTGAATTTAATATTAGAAAAAAAATCATAAATTAAATATACTTAAAACGATAGAGATGTAATTTTAATGCAATGTCTCAGGAAATAATTTAATTCAAAATTAAAATAAAAAAAAATCAATCTAAAGTCACTAACAAAGTAATTTAAAAATATAATTACTCATAATTATTACGCTACTGTTTATTATTTCTAAATAACTATGGATAAAATAGGTGTGACATACTAATTTCTTTACGCAACGGCGAAAATACAATATAAAAAGTGTTTGCTAATCGTGGTGGTCTGCATAAAATTGTTTATATCACTTTTTGTAATATTTTAAAAGATAATCTCGAGTACAAAGTAAATTTAAATTTTCAAGCAATCAAAAACAAAAACAAAGAAAATCGTTTTTCAGAAGAATCGGTAAAGTTTAGAACGCTATATCTCAGTACCAAATCGTCTGATTTCGATATATATATCGTTTTGTATATTGTTCAATAAACGTTTTGTAGTGAATTGAATAAACTTTTAAATATTTAAGTATAATAAACCAAAAATTGTGTACTTTTTGAGTTATTAACATATGTATTCTCGATCGGTCGACTTGATGCCATAACATGGTTTGAAACCTCTCATTTTGACATTATTTTTTTTTAAGTACTAGTCTAAAATTGGGGATCAAAATTACGATTCACTCATTTTACGTCCAATTCCCATCCTATTAATACATATTCGTCATATCTAAAACTCCAGAGAGTCGGAAAATAGATCTATATTCAATATCTATATAAGATATATATATTTTTGTCTCCTTTTGATTTTCTTATATTGTTGAATTATGATATTTTTTCTGCTATAGTAAATCAGGCCGGGTTTATACATTCTCTCTTAAATCCGGTACACACAACAAAAACACATATGAACTTTTGGTGAACGAAAACAAAAAATATGTTATTTGCATTTTTCAGTTCCTGAGAAATATTTTGGATATCATGTTATTGGCGCTTTCCGCAAGCTATATTTGATTTTAGCACGAAACTGACGGTAGAGCGAAGCCGTCGTTTATAATGATATGACTGATTATTCTAAAAAATCTGAAAAAAAAAGAAGGAAAATGTTGGTGTGAGCTTTAGACCACAAGTTAGAAGTGAAAATATCAACGAGGCGAGATTAATAATATTAAATATAAATAATAGCTCGTTATGAAGAGGATGAAAAAGCTGAATAATTTCCTTCACTTTTAGTATACAGGTCCGATTTTTAGTTTCTGAGATATTTTAAACCATATTTTACGCGAAAATCGTATAATAATAGTCCATTATAGAGAGGATGAATTGCTGAACAGTATCCTTGCTTACAATACGCATGACAGATTTTTAATTTTAGAGTTATTTTAATCCACATTTTTAACAAAAGTTGTCATCATTTGGTTTTCGATACTATTTTTTTCGCCTCTCTTACATGGCGTCGCGTTAAGATACAATTTTGATTTGTAGCTCATTAAGAAGGGAATAAAATGCTGAATATTTTTCTCACTTAAATTATGCAGGACCTATTTTTAGTTTTTAAGATATTGTAATCCATATGCAAAAACACTTCAAATAGTCCACTCGAGCCGATGTTACCCGAATGAGTATTAGACATTCTAGCATAGTGGCTCAGTTTCATTCATTCCCCAAACAGAAAGTGCAAAATGAGCCTTAAGAAATTTTCATTTAAAAAAAAATTGCTCTTAGCAATAATGTCTAATCCAGCAGAATTTACCCGAGGGTTACACATCGGAAATTTGACGACGCAATCTAATTCAGGAATCAAAAAAAAAAAAAAAATGCAAAACGCGGCTACAGAAGTTTTCACTTCAAAGGATACACTCTCCCTGTTCATGACATCCATGGTGATATAAGCAAACTGGTAGAGGGTGTCGTATATGGTTTCTTCGTTGAAGATGGTACACATGTGCGTGAAGAGCGTCCTCTGAGTGGAGTAGTCTTCTGGTACTTCCGCCGAGGACCACGCTGGGTCGCAGACACACCAAGCTAGCTCCGGATCCATGTAGCCGTGGTGGCAGCGGAGGGTGTGGTATTCCACCACCTTCGAGCAATAAAAAAAAAATTAAATATTAAAAATTAATTATAAATAATAATTAAAATGGTTTTATAGAGAGTCTGAAGGAAGGGGTTGTTTAGCCGACAGGCAGATCTACGGGGGAGAGGGAGGCTTTTGGGCTGAAGCCCCTCCCAAAATGGTAAAATTTGACCATATAAAAAATATTTAAAAATTGTGTTTCAAAGTATTATTGTTCGTTTAATTACATTTAATAGGACTTCACCATTTCATGTTGGTAATTAGTATCTTTCTATTTTTCCAAAGTAATTATCGTTATATGAAAAAAAAAATCTTTCGGACTGAAGCCTCCCCCCCCCCAAAATTAAATCCTGGACCCGCTATTGGTTTAGCCTTTCATGGGCACAAAAGCTTACTCTCCATTTAAAACTGAGTTAATATAAAGTGAACTTATACAAATTCCTATGAAACTTCACTCAGTGTACAGAGTTTGATTAAAATTAACTTATCTTTATCAGAGTATTAATACACTAACTAGTGAGGTTGTAAAAAAAAAAATACTCCATGACCTTCAACGAAATAATTATTCTCTTTACTAAAGTGGAAAAAGATCTAGTTTGTATAATTTGTTTTATTTAACAAAATTCTTAGAAATGGGACGATTATTTATTAAATTATTCAATTTAATGAGGTAATCAAAACTAACAGATATCCATTTTGCATTCCACTTATATCGTAAGATAATTTGATCAAAAAATAAAAAAGGTAAAACCTCAAATTTTTAGGGGAGTTAAGTTTTAGAATTTTTCGGAAGATAACAATGGTTCATTATTCAAAATAATAAACCAAATTTTTGCAGCTTCTTTTCGTTGAATTATGTTATATAAATAAATTTATAGGGCATTGGGAAGAAGACTTTAGCTAAGTTTCATTGAAATCGGTACATTCGTTGAGGCGCTACAGTCTATAGCAACGCAGGTTTTTCGGCCCCCATCATGAAAGGCAAGAGCGGATAGTAATGTCGATGCAAGAGGATCATCGCAGGGTGACATCTGTCTTTAAATCTAAATTTGGAAAAAATCTGTCGAGTTTTCTCGGAGAAAATGCGCGGACGGTGGACGACGTACGAAACAAAAAACTTGTATTCGATTTTCGAATTCTACGTATCATAAACGTAAAACCTCAAATTTTGAGGGGGGAAGGTTAAGTTTTTGATTTTTTCGGATGATTACAATGGTTCATTATTCAATCAGGGAGACCTAAAATATGTTGGCCATTTGGCCTATATAAGGTTATGACAAACTCCTTAATATTTTTGTAAGCCATCTTTTTTCTCGATTTTTTGATAAAATTATACTACGGATCAAGTGGAAAGCAAATGGTGTTGATATGTTTTAGTACCTAATTAAATAGAGATGTTGATCTCCGGATTGAATACGCCCCAATTCCGATAATCATTTTAAATAAAAAAACCTGTTTCGATGAAATTAAGCTATTCCTGAAGTTTTATGCGAGTGTAAATAATTTGATAAAAGGCGATCTGTACCAAAGACGACGAGCATCAACACCAATGACACCAATTTTGACTCGGATTGGAATTAATGCAAGGATCCATATATTTTTAATGTGAATATCGCTGATATACAATTTATCAATAGCCCTATTTTTAAAGCCTCTCATTTATGAGAGCTCCTCACAGTTACTGTGTTAGTACCTCTGGGTACTAATCTCATTAGAGAGTGAGAAAATAGCATTTCGCATGTTTCTTACTGCTGCATATAGTTATGACTTTTACTGAACAGTGTATTGGAAATATTCCTTTAATATGATAGATCACGAGAAACTTTCGGTTGTGACATAAATATGACTCATATCATAAAAGCATTGCAGATAAGAAGTACAGTTTGGAAACATCGATTAAAAAATTGGTAATCTTTTCAATTTTCTTTTTAGTTTTACTTTTCAGGAGCCTCAGAGGTCGAAACCTGATTCTCTCTTTTGACTTTAAACGAATTTTCAGAAATATCGTTTGTAAAACAATAGTTTAATCCACCTAATTATCTATATTATATTATCTGCAATATATATATTTTTTATCTTGAGCCCGCGAGATTCGGTCTTAATAATAATAATAAAAGGCTTAGCGAACCCGAAGGTTCGATGCCGACACCACCAATCGCTTATTACACACCTCCCTCCACCGTTCGCCGTCCAAACCCAGTAACTTCAGATCGGCTTTAATGCAATCTTCCCACCTTCGCTTCGGTCTACCCCTCGGACGCTTACCATTCGGCACAGCAAATATTAACCTTTTAGGAATTCTCTCGTTACTAAGCCCAACAACTTTACACGCCCATTTGATTCGCCGCGATGAAATTACATCAATTATATTACCCGGATACAGCTCACGCAATTCGGCGTTGTGTAACCGTCTGAACTCTCCGGTTAACTCATCCTTCTTCGACCCGAATATTCTACGCAATACTTTATTTTCAAAAACCTTAAGACGCTGTTCATCCCTTAGTGTAAGCGGCCAAGTTTCGCATCCATAAAGAACTGTAGGCAAGATCATTGTTTTATAGATTCTAGTTTTTAAGTTCCGGGACAAGAGGCGCGAACTAAGTAGTTTTGTCACAGACAAATAACAAGCATTTCCTGCCTTCAGTCTAACCTTAATTTCTTCTTCAATTTCCTTTTTTCTAGTTATCGTAGAACCTAGATACCTAAATTTATCTACCTGTTCAAACATATTACCATCTATATCGATATCACCAGTAGTATCGCCATTTTTGCAGCTAACCATATATTTTGTTTTATCCACGTTTATTTCGAGTCCTAGTTCTTTACCGGCTTTCATTAACGTTGTCGTATTTAGTTTTATAGTTTCAACGTCTTCGCTTAACAGTACAAGATCATCAGCATAGCCCAGCACGGATGTTGTCCCACCCAGATCCAACCCTCTCTCAGTTCGCATTACCTCCCTAATGGCATGTTCTAATGCCAAATTGAACAGGACAGGCGAAAGCTAATGCCAAATTGAACAGGACAGGCGAAAGCTAAGCGAGATTCGGTCTTACAGACGAAAATTACTTGAAATCGTTCCATCTCACGTTGCTCCGTTATTTTCCATAACCGATCTCTTTGGGGCCAATATGACAGCACCCTTCCCTCCGACTAGTGGAAAATCTTGAAATCGTAATATTCAGTTTTTCACTGGTTGCTGAAGCAGATGCACGAAGTTCTATATTTCTTTCTTTTAAACAGACATTTCGATTCATGATTAAAACATATGTGATATGTGATAGATCAATCCTGCCCCCGGTCGGTCTGAGTTGCTTCCAATAGTCTGACTGGCCTTAAATCAGGGAGTTTCGAGCAACTTGCCTTTTACGGCCGGCGTTGCTCAACTTTTGTTACAATTTGCATGGACCTGAACCATCTCGTCTCCATAACCAAATTTTTAGTTCCCTAAAATTCCCTAAAAGTTCCCTCAAAATTCCCTAAAATTCTGACTGAAACTTTTATGAAACCTTTTTATGGTAAAAGTTCCACTTATATTTATTCAAGTCGTTATAAAAAGTTCCATCAAATGAAAAATAAACAGCAATTTTACTTAGATTAGAGTTATAACTTGTCTTTTTAAAAATATAAGGTTTTTTTCCGTTTCAAGCCTTGGACATTTCTCATATTTTTTTCACTTATTTGTTAAATTTAATTATTTATTAGTACATAGAATAAATGCAAAAGCTTTTTGTTTCACATGAAATTAGGTTTCCATCTTATCTACATACCTTTTTCCTCGCCATCGTCTCGAAAACGTCCATATTGACCGTGGGTCTCAGCAGAAATCCCATGTCTTCTTCTCCAACCGGGGACTCCAAATCGGTGCACAGGTTACAATACGGTGAGTAACCCTCGTTTAGGAAACAGAGAAGTTTAATAGTTTATACAAGCTACATAAACAAATTTATTAACAAACAATTATTTATAATAATTTACAAATATATTAAAAATAAACTAAAATCCTGAAAGCAAGCCCTATTTAATGTGACATGTATACTGTTTATATTAAATCATAAAATTCTATATTGCTGGTCTTAAATTTCGTTATGACTATATTAACTTGGACTTTTAATTGGAACTAATATAATAATTAAATAGTTTTATAGGCTTACAGAAGTTTTATTGAACTTACTTATAGGTTTATAAATCTCAAAATTGCATAAGGGGCTTAAATAGGTGCATTTTCCTCCTTTAAGATTTGTCCTAATCTACGAGCATTATCTTTATTGATTGATCTAAGATAACTACCACTATAATCGACAGCTTGCTAAACTAATTATCCTTCGTTTATCGAACCTCTTGCGATATAAGCCAATGTTGGATCTTCCAGGCATTGGCATTTTGGGCGGTAACCACTCTTAGCTAGACCCACTACATGTAGAAATTTGTTTGTTCTACCGTGGTTGATTCTGAGCCTCGTCTCCTTCACTAAGGTAATTCGAGGTGAAATGTAAGTGTCGCAAACCATGGAATTAAGGCTATCTTCAGATGAACTGCGTTGTGGTCCTTACCCTTCGAGGCACATTCCCAATCGTAAAAATGCGGCCATTCCTTCATTTTCTTTCCCCTCATTCCTTTCATCAAGTATAATAATGGAACTTTGGAAATAATGAGATGGACCTGATTTTGATTCGCAGTTATGTCTGCCATTTCATTTCCCAATAAACCTACATGTCTCGGAACCCATTGAAAACAGTAATTATTGTTGATTGTGTTTATAAGGGATACAATTTTAAAATATATGTGTTTTTTTTCATGTATAAGTTTTAAGTAATTATATGCAGTTGCTGAATCAGCTAGGATAACTTATTTTGTATGTTTTTTCGGTGTGTATTACCCTCTGATGGTTACTTGTGAATTTAATTTAATAATAACACCTGGAAAGCCAATTGACGATTTTTTTTCTTTAAAAATCTGTATCTATGTAACCAACAAAACCTTAATATCCCATTTGCCCTTGCCCTTATCTCTGAAAATGTTTCCATATTCCATCAAAACCTTACATATCATCCAAATCCACTTGCATAATCCCTATCTAGCTCTACCCATCAATCCTCCTCACACAATCCTCCTCGGAGGTTGAAGGGGCAGAGGCCTAGAAACTTGTAAACATGTATTGGAGTTGTGGTAATGGCCAGATTATTCACGCAAGCCATGTATATCTGGTTATTGTGCCTCTGTCCAGCCTCCAATGGTCCTGAATATTCTTAATACCAATAATGGGCCTGTGTAAGAAGCGCTGGGATCTTCGTTCCACGAGTGGGGGGATTCCTCGGAGATATTGAGTGAATGAATTTTGTAAATATTGTATAAAAGCATGTGTGTATTTTGATTAGTTTTGTTTTTTTATGTTTATGTTTTGTTTCTTTAAGTTTATTTTAGTTTATATACATTTAATTTTAGTATTATTATTTTACTGTTTATTTATTGAACATGGAGTTAATGAGCTATTCTTTTATCACTATTTCTATGGTCCTTAGATGAGACATATATCACAAAGAAAGAATTAAAAAAAAAAAAAAATGTTGATTATAAATAGATAGAAGTCTCCTTTAAGAAAAGGTGTATCCAATGACTTTTAGAGGGCCCTTTTCCCGTGCTCAATTTCCACAGGGGATTTATAGTAAAGTACACAACGACCAAGTATGCTGACTTTCAAATCTTCGTTCGTTTTTGTGTTTTTTTCGTCCTCCTATTTAACAATACTTTGGCTAATTTTACCATAGTTTATATTGTTAGCACTCTTACTACGTCAGGAAGTTCTTTCTCAGGATCCGAGTAGCAGGTCGGAGTGGGAACGCAGAGAAGCTCGCTCCAGCTGAAGTAGTTCTTGGTACCGTCGTACTTCATGTGGCAGTCCACCGGAAGGCAATTGTCGAGCACGTCCAGATCGGGGGAGTCGCACCTCTTGTTCAGCAGTTGGTTGGCTTTCTTGTAGCTATCTGGAGAATAAAGATAATCAATGTATCCAGGATGCAGGTAGTGCTGCCCAAAATCGGCGTTGGTCTTGCAACAAGACTAAGACCGCCTAACTGTTGCAAGACCAAGACCAAGATTGTTAAAAAAAAATTTGGAAAAAAACGTTGAATAAAAATTAAGGCAAAATAGTTACTAGAAATACTTAACAATTTTAGTTACTAAATGTAAAGAATTGGTATAAGCTATTTAACTCTTCTAATTTTTCATTCGGTCTTAGTTAGGTTAATCTAAAAAAATACAGTAATATCTCTATAGTAATAAACTAATAGGTAGCTGCAAGACCTAGATTCGTCTCGGTCTCGTATTTGGGCTACACTACTATTAAGAATTCAATCAAAATATAAAAACAGCTGGATACAATGAAAAAGTAAGAAATAATCGTTTGTTAGTGAAGAAAATATAATTAAAAGAAAATAGTTCTTTTCAAAAAGAGTTCCAGAATAATTAAACCATTTTTAGAGCAATATGTTAAACATGAACAAATACCCTAAAAAAAAATAGAAAAAAATAATTTTTCGGGCGACCATAAGTTCTGCCGTTAACAGTGTTAGCATTATTGTTTTTTACATGTTTGTCCCCTCATAAATACGTTTGAAAAATTTTATTTTTCGTTAATAAATCTTAATTTTATATGTTTTTTTTTTTAGGCCACTTTTTTTCTTGATCACCTTTGTGATTAAATTATTCATCATACAATTCAAGTAGGAAGCAAATAGGTAAGCATGAGTTTTTATTACCTTCTTAGAAAGGTCTTTAGTGCTTCTATCTAAAGAATTACAGTAATATCTCTATAGTAATGAGCTAATAAGTAACTGCAAGACTATTGCGAGACTATTAGTCCATACTACAGACTCCTTTTTAACGAATTATTAACATCCGCTATGTTTATAATTCGATTATTTATCACGGACTATATTGCGCAAGTACAAAACCGAGTGCACAACATCAAGATTCGTCTTGGTTTCGCTTTTGGGCAACACTAGATGTAGGTGTGTAAATTGAAATCTATTCATAAAATTGGAGTACATTTCATGAGATAGCAATAAACTCAGCCTAGTAAAGAAAAATTTAAATATTGCTAACAAAGAAACGTAACAATAGGGCAAGAGACCTGAGAAGGATACCCGCTGAACCCAGGCGCACTTGTGGGATATTAAAGTCATAAAGATAATATTTAGCCTATTTCAGAATATCCAAATTCCGCAAAATTAGGGATCGTACTTCCCTAAAACTTTGAGTTGGAAGGTAGGAAAAAGATTTTTAAAAAACAAAAAAAGAATCGTTGATATCGGATGATTCGGTGCAAAGATATAATGTTCTAAATATTTTCTACATGTAATCCTGTAAAGATGATATCCTTTGTTTTTATTTTTGGAAAGTCTTACATCGCCTGCAGCGATCAAGATTGTTGCCTATATTTCTTAGTAAATTACTAATGATGAACAAAAAATTATTATTAGATCTTTATTACCTTTTATTTATTTTTCTCTATGTGACAAAGAAAGTAGTGTTATCTCTGATACATAACTTTTTGAAAGTAATAACAGTTATATAATAATAAACCATTGTATAAAAAATTGCAGCAATTTCGTAATGAAAAAACAAGCTAGATTAATTTTTATCGTAATCTCTAAATTGGGAAATTCTATAGAAATCAAAAACTATACTCTGCACAATGCTGCAATCGCTAATATCAACAATACACTCCAATAAATAAATAAATATATTCATTTAAGTAAACAACTCACCTTTCATGTACCATGGTATTTCGTGCACGATGTAGGTGTCGAAAGGAATCGTGAATCTTTTGCTGTCTGTCCTGTTGTAACTGTCCCTCCACCAAAGATCCAGCACGCACTCCCCCCGTCGGTTGTATTCGTACTGGGTAAAACATATATTATAATTGATATTAAGATATTATTAAAATATATCCACAGCCACACTGCAAATGCCTGCAAGAACTAAAACTAAAAATTGTCAGGAGACGAAAAAACTGCGTAATTTTTGTCCTATAGTTAACGAATCGGAGGCATACAAGACTTTATAAGTGATATTTTTATTCATAATGTCTGTTACAAATGGCACCTTAAAATACAGAGTAACACTATGAATATATTTGTTGACTGCAAGAGTATGACTTCAAGAATGTAACTGCAAGAGTGATTAGTCCAGAGGATCATGTTGTTTATATACCCAAGAATAGTAAGGGGGTGAAGGGAAGTCGGAAGAGGACTCCAAAGGAAGTTATTGATAATTAATATTCTTAAGATGTTTGTCCCCTAAGTCTTGATAATGGGTTTTATGTCCAGTCGGTACATTCTAGATCACTATTTCTAAGCCATCAGAGATAGTCTGTCGTGGCTATCTAAGGATAGCTTTGTTCTTTTATCCTTTGCGTTATGAGAATTGTCAATACAATACATGATTCACCAATTGGCATATTTAACAAATTCAATCATTCAAATAAAAGTTAAACTAATATTAATATTATTTGTTACAGATAAGTCCATTCCGTAACTCTATGAGTCTTGTATTTTCTGCTTTTTTTTTTTTTTGCAGGCCTAAGAAAAAGATTTAATGTTCTGTGTTACTTTTTTATTGTGTTTCTGACCTATAAAAGGTATTAGTTAGGTAAAATCAATAGAATTTCTTGTAGTTACACCCATTATTTTGTTAATAATGATCAAATCATGACAGAAACAAAGTTTTAGTTTCCAAAATATAGAGAAAGGGTACTTTAAATGAAAATTTGTAAAACATTTGACTGAAAGAGAGTATTTCATCAAACTGTAGGAGTGGTTGGTGCATGCGCCCCATTTTGAAGAGATCAATGAAAGTTTCCTTTTTAACTTACTCAACTTCATATGGACATGGTTTGATTCATAGAATGCTTGGTAAGTTCTAGATAACATGCTGATGTGTAGAACACTTCTTTTCTGTGCTTCTTGCTATTTCGAAGATTGGTTGGTTAGAAGTTCTTTTTTCGGTTCATATTAAATTTTCCAATTAATGAAATCAATTTCATTACTCTCACTATTCGGCGACATTGTATTTTTTTCCAGTCGAGCTCATTTATCTGTTGCCTGGAGGTTTCGATTGTTTTGATGGTCGTTCAATATTATATTCCAATTTACCACTCTCTTCTTTGTTTCGTCTCTTTCCGTAGTAAGCACTGCCGGTCTCAGAGCAGGGAAAACCCTGATATTTGCCCAGAGGTGGCATTTTTAGAAATATAAAAAAATAATAGAAAGCGTATGAAAAACAATAATTTAAATCTAATAATAAAGTAATTGATAGTTTAGTCTATGTGCAAAACCGCTTTATACATTCTATATTTAAATGAACATCTTTCGTTGAGTATTTCATTAAGTTTTCTCGGTTACGACACAATCTCTATAAACGTCACTGTAATTTACGATTTTTTACGTCATCATTGGCTGGGTTTTGAGTTACAGGTTTTTACAAAAGGCCATAGAGAAGAAATGAAACATCGTAGATTTCATTTTGTGAGATCAGAATATGTGCCGGGACAAGATTGATCAGAAAAAGTCAAAACCTCATTTTCCAAAAAAGTTGTCCTTATAGGCTTTTGTAGTGTGGCTGTAGATATATTAATTAATAATAATACCTTAAAAATTAATAGTAATATAAAAAATATAAACATATAAGAATATATATATTAATATGGGGATAATGGGAATGGTTCTGAGAGTAACGCAGATTCAAATCTCTCGGCTTCACAATAAACTCAATGAATGAACAAGCTAAAACCTCCTTTTTTTCAAAGGTATTTAAATCCCGCGAAAAATCTCCAGAAATCACAAAACTGAAGGTACACGATGCTATGATAAAGCCAGTTCTAATGTAGGCCTACGGGACCTTGCGACTTATTATCACTCTAAAAAATCACTCTGCACGATAACCGGAGTGATCTGGGACTAAAGTATTAACGCACGGAAGAGAAGGGCCAATAAAATACTGATACCGAAACCTATATCTAGGTAAGGTCGTTAGGATGGGTGGGTCGTGGAAGAGATACCGCTTGGTATTTTTCTTCCTCATGCCTGTTACGCCATTATGTTTGAAAGACAATCAACTGATTGTTAATTTTATATAAAACAGGTGTGAATAAATAAATAAAGTGAAAAAGCGTCCGCCAAGTAAGGTCAGCATAGTCTTTATTTCATTCACTCACCGTTTTCATTTTCTAAAAAATATCTATATTACGAGATCTAAAAATTTTCTTATGAAAATAAAATCTCTGGAAGATGCCGTTATCGGAAATTCAGTAATCCGTCTACATATAAGGGCTTGTGATATCCAAGAGATACCTATAAACATTTTCACTCGTAAAATGGATGGCACAAAAATCCCATAGGAAAAATTTAACTTTTTGTTTGCTCGGAGTAAACGAGACCATTCTCTTTTTCAGTCAGAACAAAACTAATTTATGCCGGAAATATAAACATATGAGTGAAGTTGACACAATTTTGATATTTAAGCATAAAATCGAGACCAAGACGAGCTGGTTTTACTTCAATGGAAATAAACACAATCACAAATAACACCTTTTGTTTTACAAATTGAGAGTAAAAATTACATTAAATTTACTGAAAATTACACGAAATCTATGTAACTGTATACAGTATAAATTAACTTTTTGAATGAAACATGAAATTTTATTACCCCATAACAATATTGTAATAAAGTAACTCCCACTCCATATGATCCTGTACCTTCCACATTTCACAGGCATTATATTGTTAATAATTATTTATATTAATCTTAATTATTAAATGGAATTAAATTAAATTGATACTAAGTAATTTCTATACTGTTTACCGAATTTCCTCCAAGTTTGATTCAAATCGAATGCGCCGTTTTCAAACTATAGGCATATCAAATAAAACATTTCCTGATCTAAATGCGTAAGTATTTTTATTTCGAATATTAGATAAAATTTGACAAAATTGATGCCTATTTCATTTTACGTATACCAATCCCTTCAAATTTGAGCCGACTAGAAGTTGCGGTTTTAGAGATATAGACGTATCAATGAAAACACGTTTGCGCATATATAAGAGAAAGCAATAGACAGAGTTCTATCAAATTGACCGTACATTATTTTTTCATAAATACCTACCTTTTATCCAGCTTTAGCCAAATCGAACGAGCTTGTTTTGAAATATTGGCATACCTACAAAAATGCGTTTGCGCGTGCGTAAGCGGAATTTCTGGTTAGAATTTAATAAAATTGATACGGGACCATCTAGAAACCAACCCGGACAATTCCTGAAAATTACATGAAAATCGGATAAGTGTTAGTAGGTGATATGTTCGTTACATCGATTTGACTACATACAGTCTTGATGTCTGAAACGTAAAATGCGAGTGAAAATTTTAGATTCTGAGCGCAAAATTTTCTGTAACCTCTTGCACGAATACAATGCTTTCCTACCTTCGGTAGTGAGGAAGCAAAATTGTTAATGATCATAAATCATCTTGAAACAAGCGTTTTCCATTTTTTTAAATACGAATTTTTGAATTTAGAGCATTGATTAGGAAGCGTTTGGTAGGACATAATGAGCCGTCCATTAGAGCTCGATAGGAGTGATCCAGCTGAGATGATGGTGATTAGGACAGGACATTGTATCGGCGGCGACATCAAAGTCCAACTGTCGGGGCCGATGGAGAGGCGTGGCGGCAGCGACCGCAAGAGTACACGACAACTGCGGCCTGGAGCTTCTTCAATCTCCAGCTGCCAAAATGGTGACAACTCAATCTTTTCACCATGAGCTCTCTCTCTTTAGTTCGTTTTATAATCCCAATAGATGTTGAGAAGTATGTGCTAACGATTTTGTAATTGGTTTTCAGACTGTTATTAAGAAGTCCGTAATGAATGTAATAAAATTGGTACATTATATGTATCTGGTCATAATCAGTTAAGTCGAGAATGATTTTCACGAATTCTGTGAATTAAGATCATCTTTCAAACTGTCTGAACACCGTGAAGAAGTAAGTAATTAAGAGGACAACAAATTTTAGAAATCTAGACGAGAACTGTGAATTTAGTAATTTCTTCACGGTATTTCGAACGCTTAGGAGATGATCTCAATTTACAAAACTTGTGAGGACCACTTTTCGGCTAGTTATGGCCAGAGAACATAGATGTGCTAATAGGACTCTATGGATTTGTTGCACATAAAAAAATTATTTCACAATTTGAAAAGGGACGTGGGGGTTATTGAGCTAAGCTACGAAGCCTTGGCCAGAATATAGACTCCTTTCCCTCTTGTGGTGTTCCGGAGACTATTGAGCATGTGGTCACGACCTGTTATCGACGTTCGACGGATTAACCGGCACGATGTTTGGAGTTTTCTTGGTTGGTCGGTGAGGATAACTTCCAGCAGTTAAAGGGATTCATAAATGTCTGGAATACGGCGGTGTATCCAGCCCATTTTAACATTGGAACCAGCAGAAGGAAAATATATCTGGAATAAAAAAGCTCCTCTTGAATTGAAGACATAAAAGTAAGTAAAATGTGCTGATTAACTTGAAATTAAATTGAACGTTCATGCTCACAGGGGTGCCCAGAAGGGGATTTAATGGGAGGCACGTTTTGATGGTTTTTTTTTAATTTTTAAGAGGGGCACATTTCCACGGGGTTATGAATTTTCAAAAGGAAAAGATTCAAATTAAAAGACAAATGGAAGTATGGAACAGATCGCAGAATATGTAATTGTGCATAATCTATGAATTTTAAATTCTACTTTCCTTTGCACTGTATTTAAGAAGAAGAGATGAATAAAATATTTTGGGAGTGGTGGGAGAAGATTTACGCTCCATCGCCCTTGGTGGAGATGTTCACCCCTGCATGCTCA